TATTACTCGTATGTGCAAGCCAGCCAGCTCATGGCCGGGTAGGAGTGGATGCAGGTAGAGACCGATCTCAAGGTCAACCTTCGGCAAACAGAAACGAGGCCCTGTGGAGGTTCCGCTTCTGTGTTCTTCCTTGAAGGGTACTCTGCTGGTTCATGTAAAGGGTTCAGCAAGGGTGCTACAGTCGGGGCTTTTCGGATATAATACCATCATGCAAGGCGTGCATTTCATAGGAAGGCTGTTATGTGCGAGCTGCGAGAAAGTGTCATTAACGACTGGACCGTAAACACCTTGAACTCCACCTTGAACATATGGGAGTTTCCGAAAATAGGGGACCCTAAGATACTCCTACTGAGAGTAGTACCCTAAATAGTAGGATCCTTATTATAAGGACCCCCATGTAAGTTACCCCTAATTTTCGGAAACTCCCAAAACGGCCTGGCACTGGAAAAGCACTGAGCATCACACCAGGCCCCACGAGGTTTCAAGCTTGCTAACCTGTTTTTGTTTAGGCGACCCTTTTCCATCTGCCTGAACGTCCAGAAAGTGGATCCCCGCTGGGTGTGTCTAGCGACCAATTGGGATTATACAAATGAGTTTGGCACGAACACAACATATCTGAGCTAACCTGGTCTAGGGTTTAGGGTAGATGCCCTTCGGAACAAAGCCGCGCAAGACCCTGCACAAGACTCGTCATGCATGGCGGCACAGGCGTGATCAAGCGTGCGGGATGGAAGTAGTATCCGCGGGGCATGGTACGGGTCGCACTTATTTGTGCAAGATGGTGGCTGCACATTATGCGTGGCTCTAGAGTGGTTCCAGATGCTGTGGGAAATGCAGAGATGCCTTGCCTCTGCGCTACAGCCAGTCCAAGTTCCTGCGCTACATCGCCCGCTGCTGGCGCCACCACCGTGGCTCCTGCCACAGTCTCACGAGGTTTCTACTACCTGAATGTGGAGCTCTTCGAGAAGTGCAACCGAGCTACCGAGAATCACGCCCCCGCTGCCCACGATGATCTTAATGAAGCCTTCCGTCTCGCCTTCGCCTTAGGCTCCGTGACAATCCATTGCCATCCTCATTGCTGAGAAGTGCTTCTAATTAAACTCGTCTCTGAGACGGAGACAGGAGACCTAGTGACCAGGTTCCAAGAGTAAGCTGGTGCTGCTGGCTCTTCCTGCTGCTCTCAATGCGAACCTCACTGTCACTTCATGCAGCTGTAACAGCACGGCTCGCTTCGCCGAGACTTGGCAAACTCGAACAATTGTTACATCAGCTGAGAAGTACGTAGTTCGCTCACGGGTTGTTAGGAACAAGACCAAGACGGAAGCATCTGGCTCCGATTTGGGAAGGGCGGCGGCAAGAGCCAGTACTTCCTTCGCGGTCACGAGAAAAGGCTCCAATTGCTCAGCAGGGGGCAAACTGCTCGGTCAACGTGCGACAGCATGCGCATTTTGACCTTGGTGGGGGCATCAAGACTACGCAAGCACCGTGGCACGCGAGCTTTCACGCTTGCGGTATGACCTTGCAGCTCTATAGATTGCTTCATAAACCGCAGAGCAACTGACACAGGCAATCTATGGCAATCTCGTCTCGCATCACTGGAACGCCAAATCTACATAGCTGAGCTGACGGCCGAGACTTTGTCGATTCCATGTGCATCTGCCGCCTGACCGCCAGCGAAACAATGGAACACGCGGTCAAGCTTCATGCGAGCGTTCCACTTCTATCACCTTCACGACGTGCGGACATGCGAAGCAAAGCAATTTCCGGGCCCTCACGTCACTACGTAAGTTTCACTCGTGCACCTGCCTCCTTCATGGTCAAACCCACAGTGGCCACTTCTGGGTGAGTAAAGGTACAGCGCGGAACCGCCTGGGTGGAGAGCTTAGAAGAAAAGTCGGCATTACTTAACGGATCATGGGACTTAGTAACTAGGGTTATTATTGGGGTAGCTATACTTACAATTACTTATAACCCCTATGAAGGGACTTATAACTACAGTTACTAAGTCTGCGTGGGGGATTGATCTCGATTTGGTTGCTGCTCTCCCCACCAGAGCTGTAATGAATGTAGGTGTGGCTGGCTTGCACTCTCCACAGACTGGACCCTGTCTCTCCCTCTTACTTCCACACGTGCAATCCTATGCAGGCAGAACCGGCGTCCGTTCCTTTTGCACTCACTGCCGGCGGCGGTTCGTCTGTGCAACGGGATAGCTCTGATTGCTCAGGATAGAAGACACATATAGCACTTAGCTATGGGCATTGACTTGAGCCAAACGTTGCGTTGGCGGTCACATAGAAAGGTAAAGACGAGGGATGCGTAGCATGCCCCCTTTGAGTCGAGGGACGCGCAGCGCGCCCCCTTCTCTTGCACTTTACACGGTCTTGCTCACAGCTCTTATAGTGACACCTTAGAACTTGACAAGGCATCGCAGTCCGTTCGCACCCCCCATGAGTTGCGTCTCCGACGCTGCTCACCCGGAAGATGGCACGATAGGACAACAGAAAATTTTCCGCCGCAACGTTGACATTGAAAATCAGAGCTTTGCATCCCAATTAGAAACGTTGTGACACTCATCTACGTCAGTAACGATCCCCTGAAATGACAAACAAATCAGGCGTCACCGAAGAAAGAAGCATTCGCGATGGCATTCCATGGGCGAAGCTCAGAGGTCACGAACTGATAGGCGAGGAAGACCAAGCGTTGATTCACCTCCATCTTCGCGTGGTCGCAGGATCGCGGTCCCAGGGCCGGAGGTTTTCCTCTGGATACTGTTCCCGATGCTTTCCCTTGTCCTTGCCTTTGCTTCGGCCTTTGCCGGCGGTGTAGTCGTAGTAGGAGTTGGAGTTCCAGCCTCCATGCTGCTCACCTCCGGTTCTCCCACGCCCTTTTGAAGGTCCCTTGGCCGAAGAAGCGCTTTCACGTTCCTCCGTAGTGACAGGCGTGTCCAGGATGGAAGTACCACCTGGAGGGAGATAGTCAGCGGCCGATATGTGGTGTAGGGCTTCAGTACGCTTGGTCGTCGGGTTTTGCTGTCTCTCAACCTTGGATCTGTTCAATCTGTCCATGAAATGCGCAGGCATTTGCACATTGTGGTCCACCAGCAAGCCGATGGTCTGGACTGACTGATCAGAATGAGTCAGCAGGATACCGACGGGGTCGATGTACAAGAAGTCCACCGGTCCAGTTGGCGTTGGTCGTAGCACTGAGAATTGTTGGTGTCCCGTCACCATAGGAATCACCTCGCACAGGACGTTCAGGCAACAAAAGTGCATAGCCTTCACATCTTCATCCCTTTCGCTCTTCAAGTAAGTAGTAGGGTTGAAGTTGTCCCTGCCAATTCCCATCATGTTGGCTCCCCGTGTAAGCAACGAAAGCATCTGGTTCGTCCGGAAGCGCTTCAAGGTGTAAGTCCCGTTGGGATCATACTGCTTGAGGTTCTCATGCTCCTTGGCAAAGCGAATGATCTCCTCATCAGTCACATCCTTGCTCACACCCGTTTCCCTATCCACTGCCGCCAAAGATCCCCACTTTCCAAGCACATCATAGCGTTGCCCAAGTGCGAAACTTTCCCTCATCTGGAACAACGGCATAGTCGCCCACTTTGCGAATCCTGACCAGGCCTTGTAGATGGATCTGCATACCACGTATGCCATGTACGAAAGAGCGGTCATGTTCGCGTCAATGCAATGGGCATTTCGCTTTCCAGAATAGTAGGATGGCTGCATGGCGGTGCGTGCAAGTTGTAGCTCAGGATCGATGTTCAAAGACTGGCCGGTAACGAAGACGGGACGACGTTCCTGTGCAATTGCTTCTGGTACTGCGTCATCAAAGTCCTCTCCTGGCTCTATGTCCATTTCTTCATCAGGTTCCTGTTCTGGATCGTCCTCCGCGATGACAGATGGTTCTGGGATTTCCTCAGGTTCCGCAACTGTCTCTACCTCCATGGCTTCCTGCTCCTCTTCGGGCGCCTCAGGCACTGCGGCTGCTGCGGCTTCCATTGTCTGAGCAATGAAGTCACTGGGGATCTCCGTAGGAGTCTCCCGTTGTGGAGAACCTTGATAATATCCGCTCGAAACGAACTGTGACCAGCAAGACGTGCATCGGGAGAAACATGCTGGAACGATGTTGTAGCATGCCGGGCATACCCTCATTCTCCGTCCATCCTCGTCTCTGCGTAGGTCTTTGGGTCGCCAATTCTTGATGACAAACTTGATTCCTTTGTCCATGTAGTGATGCCGAACCGTGTTCTCCCTGTGGGACTCCAGGACAGTCGTGAGGTCTCGAATGATCTGCTCCTTGCTTGTGTCGTGGGGTCCAGTAGGCATCTCGCAAAGCAATTCCATGATCTTGCTTGGCGTTCGGTATCTCTCGAACTCAGGAAGCAACGGTGATGCATTGTAGTCCAACACCAGCTCTTTCTCCAACCGTTCATCGTAGATCTTTTCCACCAGAGCGAAAGAGGGTGTATCTCGAGGATCCGGGACGCAAAACCATACCTCCTTGACGAAATGGAAAGGTATCGTTCGGCCAACGATCATGATGCCGCTGTCTGTGATACGTCCATCTTCTCGTGCAAGGTCCTGCGATGGGACATGAAGGACCGCCAATGGCATGTGCTTGGCGTCTCGTCCATGTACTCGCATCTTGGTCGTTGCGTTCCGGTGATCGAACGGCGCAAACCCCCCCCAATAGCTGTGGAGTCTGCCACCTTGGTTGCCTCGGAATTGGCGCCTATGGTCGAAGTCCCCGTCGGGGTCCTCCGAACCAGGCATGATGCCTTGCGTGACAATGGAATCCCAGTTGCGGCATGCCGTAGCGTGGAACGCACCTCCAAGACGTTGCAAGAGGGTCATAGATGGAGATATTGCGAACCTGTTCTTGTCCAACTGAAGCAAGTTGTTCTGGGGATCTGAGTGCGCAGAGTGACCACTCGTAGCCCGAACTGCCCATGGCTTCATCCAGCCGTTGCACATGTTCAGGTACCTCTGGCCGTGCCGGCAATGATCATTGTTCTGGATCTCCGTGATCTGGTCCTGAACCGATACCAACCTGTTCGAACCTGCTGATCCAAGAGTTTCCGTGCCGGGGTCCTTCACTCTCACACCCAGGAACTGCAACCGAATCTTGGCCTTGTGCGTTTCGTGGCTGCAATCATGTTCCCTTGGAACAATAGCTGAAGTCTTTCATTGTACACTCTCTTCTTCTGTTGCTCATCGGTCCTTGAGACCGCTTCGGTGATGCGTCTGCTTTCATGGGTCCATAGTGGCTCATGCCTCGCCAAATCTTCGATCATCACCCACCCTCCTTCATCACATTTGATGACACTGTTGAATGCCACCTGGCACCTGTTGTCAAGCCATTCCGAGCCTGGGCGCCTGGCGATTCTGTGGCGCAGGTCAGATTGGATGCATGATAGCGCCCAATCCGCGTTCAGTCAGCGCTGACGGGTGATGTCGCGAAGGACAACTTCGTTCACGAGGTCCCATCGATTGTTGATGAAGCTTGCACCCTTGGTTGGGATCAAGTCGAGAATCCCGCACCGGATTGGCCTTCCGCCGCCGATGGATTCGTAGCCTGCATTGGTGTAGCTATGAGTGGTATCATCGTAAGCAAAGCTAGGACGGTCTCCTCGTTGAGGTAGGCGTCGGTCGCGATGGTCCGAAAGCTGCTCAATGAGGTCCACCCCTCGCTGGCTATTCTCTGGTCCCGATTCCTGCAGTGGTACGCCACAAGCATCATGTAGGCCCCGACGGTTCTCCACATCCGTGCAGAGATTGTGTTTGTTCTCATAACGGATCAAGACCACATCACCCCGTACGGCTTCGCCTCCGCGTCGCGGTCGGGCTTTGGCCTTGGGTCGTCTGTCCGAGGATGCAACACTCACATGGTCTGTGGTGTCAACGTCCATTGGCTCAGCCTCTTGTGGAGGTACTCGACGTGGATATCGAAGAAGGCTTTCCTTGATAATCTGGACGCCTCGAAGTACCAGATCCCGGGTTGCAGCATTTTCTGTGCAATTGGACAGAGTGTGTAGATCACTGCCACAAGCGACACAGAACTTGATGCGGTCGCTTCCGACTGACATTTCGCCCTGAGCGAGTACGCCCACATAGTCCTGAAGCTGCGCGACAAATCCTTCACGAATTGCATGCCTGGGATCAGGGCCTTCTGCACCTTGTTCTTCTTCGGGTTGCGCATCCACATCTACATCCTGTGCAGGTATTGGTGGAGCAACTGAGAACCCTGTATCGTCCGTGACGTTGTCAGCGGCCTGTGTCTCGTCGGTTCTCGCAATCTCTACAGGGTAGATATCACCATCGACGATCACTGTGAAATCAATCACGAGGTCAGCGGACATGTTGTTGACGATCTCAGCGACTGCTTCATTCTTCTTGGGCGGTGTCCTTTTGCGCGGGGAGTCAACCGTGAGCAGCTCGATAGCTTCGGCCGACGCGTAGCGGAAGAATGATCTTTCGATTCCCCTCGCGCACGCATTTGCTCCCTCAAGGCCACCCCAATTCGGAAAATAACTTGGGTGTCTCATTGCAATTGTAAGAAGCCCGAGCGCCAGCTCCACCGTGTCACCCAGGAGCTCTTCCTTGGGCAAGACTGACCCTCTGTAGCAAATTCTGGGCGCTCTTCCGTGGAGTCCAAAAGCATTCCTCATGAAAAAACAAACAAACCAAAAAAAAAAAAAAATAAAAGAAAAACAAAAAGAAAAAAAACAAAAAAAAAAAAAAAAAAAAGCGAAAAACCAGCATAAGCGCAGTGCCCGGCATCGTAGTAGCAGATGTAGCAGGTCTTCCCTTCGGAATCGCATCCTCTGTCCCACGCCAACTGTTTGGCTTTTCCCCATGCCGCGTACTCGA